TCAATGATATGAGTAGATTCCTCAATCCTCAAGAAATGTAGCCTCGTGGAATGGGTCATTAGCTGTTTTGGTTTTGGGTGTTCACCAAGTAGGTATATCTAGTTAGAAGCAAGAAGAATGTATAGCCATTGGAAATGAACTCCTTGCTTGGTGAGAGAGACACCTACTTGACAAAGAAGGTATTTCCTTCTCTCACTTATGTCAACTCATTCTATTTATCCTCAGCGTGTAAAGGCTAAAACTCGATTGCACTTACTAATTTCAGGTCTGAAATTTAATTTCTTTGTAAATTTCATAGTTTAAGTTCCTCGAACATAACTGCTTCTTATAAGTTTCCTCACTTTCGAAATTAGCTCTCATTTATTTCTTCCATCTCACTATTGAAAATTGGAAATGGAAAGGAAACTGTGGATTCTAATCATTCCCACTATTGAATGAATTTAGCAAGGTTACTTGTATATATATAGAAATGGATCATATATAACCCTATTTGTTTGTCTTGACTCTGGAAAGAGATGATGTGGTTGCTGAATCTAAAGTTTCTAAATGGACTTTCTTTACTTGTTTGATGCCTAGGTCCTGTATATAGCAGAAACTCCAAGTTCAAGAAAGATAAAGGATAGAAAAATCTCCAATAACCATCGTCAGAGTAAAAATCCTCAACATTCATCTTTTATTGGATTTGGGATACAATTCACACCATGTACTGCAATTGGGGTTATGCAACAATTGGAGGCAACACAATTAGGGAAGAACCATATGTACTCAAATGCCAAATCTACTGTCAATCTGTCAATCTATCAAAAATGTTACTATTTTATAATCTCTTTTTTTTTTTTCAATGAAATCTATTATTAAAAAATGCCACTACAATTGGTTAACCTATTGGGTGGAGTGTTGCTTACAAATGCAAAATTATGAGATCTAGTATTTTATAATCTCTTCTATGTACAAATTTTATTGTACTATTTATCATAGAGTTTTTGATAACTTTATTCCGTAAATTAATAAATTGTTTTTTCCATAAAACTTTTGATCTCAAACTAGTTTATCGGTGTAATAACTTTATGAATAGTTCTAACATTATTAAATTCTTGACTTTTTAATGTATATATATATATTTTAAAATATAATCGTTTAAGAAAATGATAAGTAATTGATGTTTTATGCTTTTATGAAACAACAGACTATAGACAGACGTCAAGGTGAAAGATGTATTAATAATGGGATTGTAACTCAAAACATCCCTCAAAACAAACTTTTAACCCAATAAATCCTTCTTATAAACATTTTAATTCTTTTGATTTAATTTTAATCAAAAATATGGCTAAAGTCAAAGTTGCCCTTAATGAATTAGGCATATTAC